TCACCCCTCCCCCTCTCTTTCATACACACAGACACAGCTATTCACCCTGTCGCACGCTTTCTCACTCGATCGTCTCTGCTCTTTTCCTTCTCACGAAAGAATGCAGCTTTAGCTGCAGCAGTAACAGCAGCGTCGTCGCGCACACCACGCACAGTATGTATGGCTTCTCTTTGCTTTCTATCCCCACGATGCGTTTCATCTTCACCCCATCGAGATCCTCGAACCACAGCGTGGACCGTGAACGGATGTAAACAAGTCGATCTGGATTATGCAAAACGCTAGTCGATTCGAACATCACCGAATCACCGAGCTTGCTCGCGGTTTCCGTTTCCGTATTTTTAACGCGTTTCCCGGAGGATCGTCGCGCAACACACACAGATGCAAGTGAGAAAAAGGAGGAAATTGGAGAACGTTCGCGGCAAGAAGGTCTTTCTTTACCCTCGGGGAAGTCTGCGTGGAAAAGAGTAGTCTTTCGAACAGCGTACTTTCTTCCTTTTCTTTTTGTAGCAGCGTCCCTCTTAACTGGGTCGAGATTATGTAACGACAGAAATCGCCTCTAAATTAAATATCAATCCTTTTGGAAGAGCTTGACTCTTCAGAGAGGATTATAAACGGATAGAACTTTGCGTAGGAATTTATCGAACGACGTTTTAAATGGTCGAACAACGAGCCAGGGTACTTTATCTTTGGCGTTGCGTTTCCGTGAATTTCTCGAATGGCAGATAACGATTGGTCGCGTGTGGGGTAAAACAGAAGGGGGGATAGATTTTGACTGGTTGTGGAATGGAAGGAAATACGTGGTGGTGATCGGCGAAGAAAAGACCGGCTGCGTGCTGGCGCGGGGAACAATAAAGATGTAGAGAGAAGCGAGACGAAAGACGCGGGTCGACGGTTGGAAGGAAGGAGAGGAGAGGAGAGAAGTCGGGAGGACAAAGAGCCGTGTGTCGGGGTCGCCGGCCGTTTGTCGTAGGTGTGCAGCCTTGTACACCGGAACCACCAACCCAGTGCTGGTTCTGCCTCTTCCAAATTTCCCTCCTAGCTTCTTCGCGCCTGTTACGCGATAACAAAGACCACCTTTCCCTTGTCCTTCTTCCGTCTTCCGTCTTCGCTTCCTCCGCTTCCTCCGCTCTAACGCGAAATCCTTTCGGGAAACAAAATTCGACGGTACGGCGATTCGCGACGCCTTGGACGTAACTTTACATTTAACGTACGTACCCACTTGTAAAATTGTACGTTAAATCGGCGGAGCGGTAAAGGAAAAAGAAGTTTTCTCCGGCAAACTAATCCAAATTCGAAACAACTCCTCCTCCGACAAAGTTTCTTCCCATTTCTTCGATGCTCGTCATCCTTCCAACTTTCTCTCCGACGACGCGACGTTCCGAACGTCCCGTAACTGTATTCCGGGATGATTCATTTCTCGTGACGCACCTGATCGACGCATCCCATTCTCGAGTCCCAATTCCTCTCTCGAACCGTTTCGAATCGTTGGAATCGAAAGCGACGACGCGACGACGCGACGTGTGAAGAAAAGGAACGGCGAGGAGGCTGCGGAGGCACGCGAGGAACGCATTGCGTTGTCCTAGTCGCGTCAGTCTAATTCACGTCAGCCGTTGTAATTGGCGGAATTTAGGCGGAATTTAGGCGGAATTTAGGCGGAATTTAGGTGAAATCTAGCGGCGCGGCGTCGTCCGTCAGAAACGACCGCTCGAAAGCGACGCTGACGTATAGCACGAGAGATACATTTGCATTTGAAAATCGTCGTGCGACGACTGACAGCCGCCGTTTATGATGAGCGCGATTCGTGACACGCTCTGGCAAGCCCGATGTGATTCGCGTACAGATTTTCGGTAAGCGTTTCCCACCTCCCCCCCTGCTGTACACAGTTTAACCATCGATCGTTTCGTGCCTGCCTCTCCGAAACAAGACGTGCTCGCGAATGCAGGCGAAAAAGTTGCCGGTGAAGAACGCGTTACGCGGAACGTGATTAAATTTAATTGATACCGGCGTATCGAGGAAATACATTTATCCGGATAATCGATGTTCAACCCGCGAGATAACTGGCAACGATAACGATAAAACGTAAAGTAAATTTTACCTCTGTGTAAAATATCGGAACGGCATGGTGGCATTAAGTGAATTCGGAGCTGGTCACCAGCTATAATTATTCCCGCGGAACGTGCAAAAAGCTGCATCGTCGAAATTTCTTCGTTTTTACCTGTTCCCGCAATTTCATCCTGTGGGTTCAAGCGTATTCCGCGATACTCCGTTCGTCGATCGCTTCCGGAAAGTTCGCCGCGGCAACGACCTTCTCAGTCACCACTTTGCTCTCCTTTCGTTACGAACAGATCAAAAATATTGTTTCCCAAGTCGCGGAATCTTTCCGTTGGATTAATTTCGAACGAAAGGTTACG